TTAGTTTGATTTGCAGCAGTTGTGACTGAGGCCGACGCACGACGCGTGCATGAATCTGAGTCCCCATCTGGCTCGTTAGTCACACTGGCTGTGGCCGGTTTGAGTTGGACTAACTGCAATTTGCTCGGTTTACGGCGACTAGATCCACTTAGAGTGACTCGTGAAGTGGAAACTGTACCGTTGTGACCAGATTTGTCGGATGTGTGTGATTTAGCAGCTTCACCGTTGAACAAGCTTCGAGTGGTTGGACCACCAGTGGAACCCGCATCTGTATCATCGAGACGAGGTTTTTTAGCTGCTCGCGGTTCATCCTCCTTCTCCTCGTGATGATTTGTCAGAGCCGGAGTGGCGTTCAATCCATATTGGTTCAAATCGTCATCATCATTTTCCGCTTCGTCGTCGAACAGATCGATATCTTCTTCCAGTAGTGTATCCAAATCCGCGGCACTGCCCAGTGTGGTAGTCGATTGATGAGCGTTTGGTCCCAGTTTGCCTTCACGAACAAGTGTCTTCAGACTAGCTGCGACCACTGCCGGTTCCTGATCCACATCACGTATACGAACCTGGTGAAAACGGGAACAGAATGTAAACAGCAATTGTATTTGTAGTTGCCTAAGCCTAACACAGTCTGACTATTTTTCTTCACTCTACCTTATCTCCATATTACGGCATTAAAAACAATCAGGAATCACAAACGGATCAAAACTGCATAACCTACCCGACTGATGGCAGCACGATGTGCGGGCAGATGATGCCCAATGATGAATTCCAGTTCGCTATGACATGTCTGATGATGAGACATAGCCTCTCTACGTGTACTGTACGTGACATCACAATGCGGACACTGGTACGCGGGAACGGACGAAACGTGAACTCGGACTACATGGGCCCGTGTTGCTCCCACATTGCCTGAAGCGTATTGACACAACGAGCACACATATAGACATCCGGTTGGATTTGGATCTGGCTCCGAGCTGAGCGGACCGCACTGATCCAAATTGATACGAATCACATAGGGCTCTTCGGAAGTGGAAAGATCACTCACATCAGCCACGGAGTCCTCGACGTGGAACAGAGAAGAGGATGATACATCATCCAGTAGAGGGGAACTGTCCGAGTCGACCACGTGTGATTTACCAGCCGGAGTTCCCGTCGAGTGCGTTTTACTTCCGATAGCATTTGGAGCAGTGGCAGGCAAGGCGGTCAATTTCTCGGAGTCTCGATGTTGCGTGGACGGCTGATAGACTTGAGAAGCAAACTGTCCGGACGGGCGTGCCAGACCAACGGCCGAGGCACGTCGAGTACCAAACTGGGACAAATCCATTTCTGCTAGAGGTTTGATAACAGTACCCTTCCATTTCATTTTGGCTAAATGAAGAAGAACGTGATTAGGTAATAGTGTGTTGTCCTCTCGACTCAGACGACTGCAATGCATGGCCGCAGCCTTGTATCTTTCGGGTACCTTGGCATGAACACCTAAGATGTGTTTGCGAATATCACCCATTCCATGAGGTGAAGAGGAAGAACATCCGGAGCAACAGAAATAGCGTCGACCACGGCGTCGTGTAATGAACACTTTCAGCGAACTGTACACATTCATCTTTTCCTGAAAAAGCGTAAAAACATAGACAATGGTGTTTGTACAGTGACATATACACATTTTGTCATACAAAGAGCACGATAACTATCAAAGCAAATAATATGTAATTCGTCACGAGTTTCCCCAATCACCTCTGAAATCCGTTAACCTATGGAAAATAAACCGTCCTGAAATCGTTGAAGCGGTTGAATTTTTACCGCATCCCGTTGACGTAGTGAATATATAGTTTCCTAATTAGTATGAGGATATAGCAGTTCTAGCAGTTCTACATTCTGAGAGTGTATGGCTGACTGGAATAACTGATGATTGTGCGTGAAGGTGAAGTCTGAAGGATGGTCAGTTCAATCAATCAATACTGAGAACAGCAACAACATCCAGATGATATTGCAATGTAGCGACCGCTCGAGTTTCAAGCTTTCAGGAGTGTACCCGGAGGGCGGATTTGTCTTTCGAAGACTTTGTGTTTGTCAGTACCCAAACTGATCGTTTTCTAAGTTTACACAACCATTAACCACGAAGGTTCTTGCGGCGATTTTGGTTACTGTATTTTTTAGCTACTTATTTGAATGAAGGAGTAGAAGGAAGTTTGAACTGCTGAAAACAGTGCCAAGGTGAGAAAATAGAGAATTACTGCAGACTAGGGTCACCAAGAGATTGAGCAGATGCATGAGCACTACCGTTACAACACAGTGTCTCTCATCATCGGTTACGTTGATCCTGATCTGCTTATCGACTAGGTTGGTCCAGCACCTAGCCTCACTCCAACTGGAGATTTAATCGAGCAAGTGGATAAGTTTTGTTGCCTGGACAACTACATCTCACCCGGTGTAGGCATCACAGATGAAGTGTCAACTCGCATACAAGAAGGCTCGGTTGACATTTGCTAACTTGGAACATCTGTTGCGTTCTCGCGACATCCGGCTGTCTGTGAAGGGTCCATTGTATGCCGCGGCAATTCGGCCAGTTCTGGTGTACGGCACAGAAACTTGGCCTGGCATGAGGGTATGAAAACCCTAACCAGGAGACTGGGTCACATAGATCTCCTTGGGCTCTTTGGTTGGGGACCTAGGGGTGACCGTAACCGATGGTTAGATACACTGAGTGATATGGCTGAGTGTCGTAAACAGCTGCGTTAGTGCTTCTTCTGAATTTCTCTTCAACATTAGTTCACTGAATTTCTCAATTTTCTCTTCGATTCTACTTTCAACCTTTCCTGTCTTTCTCCTAATGTTCATCCAAATGGGCAGCCAAAAGACAGCCATGAAAACCGGCGTACAAGAGTGCATGGTTAATGGTTGTACAAACTGCACTGAACTATCGAAAAAACCCAGCATGATCTCTATAGGCCCAAGTCTCCCGGTCGTGGTTTTCATACCCTCATACCAGGTCTTCGTTTGAACCTCCCTGGTTCATTTCCACACACTAACTGCCTGATCAAGTGTTCTATTTTCATATCAATCACTTCTCGAAAGTTGACTTTTGGTTCGTCCAAAATAATCAGCAAAAACTGATTGATGGCGATCCATACATTCAAAGCTGCAACGCTTAACGTTTATTACGGTTATTATATATCACGCATACGGTGCCAAATTTTTTTTTTCAGGATACTATGAACAACGTCCAGTTTGCAGTATTGTCTGCTTTGAAACGGCACCATTCGTTGATTTAGAGAAAAAGATAAGCTGTTTGAGTGTCGCAACGAGTCACGCTCGTGAATCCCATTGATCTGTTGGCAACTTTCCCCACATTTCAATCTTCCCTGGACTGTTTCATCCAAGCGAGTAGCTACGTGACAGCAACAAAAATCGCCACACAAAAAGATGTATGGTTAAGAGTCATTTAAAGCTAAAACCGATTTACATTTTATCGCCTGATACTTAACCCGTTACCCGCCTCCCCCCCTTGGCAGTTGGTGATTCCATTCTTTACTTTACTACGGCTGGCTGGCTGGCTCTCTGTTTGGAAAGGATAAGCCTGCTCCATGAACGTTTCTGATTCACGCCGTAGAAGAAATGATCTGTAAGTTCCATGGGAGTTTGGTAAAAATCCTATGGGGCATGATAAGCTTTAGCTTTGTTAAAACGCCCATAATAAAACTTTGACTTTGACTTAGACGTCCACAGCGTGGCTCGGCGTTTTTTAAATTATTTTGAGGGTGCACCTCTAACCTTTGCATAACCAAGTGCGAACT